ATAGCCTACCAACCAAAAAAAGCCCAGGTCCAGATGGGTTCACAGCCGAATTCTACCAGACATACAAAGAGGACCTGGTACCATTCCTTCTGAAACTATTCCAAACAATCCAAAAAGAGGGAATCCTTCCCAAATCATTTTATGAGACCAACATCATCCTGATACCAAAACCCGGCAGAGACTCAACAAGAAAAGAAAACTTCAGGCCAATATCCATGATGAACATAGATACAGAAATCTTCAATAAAATACTGGCAAACCGATTGCAACAGCACATCAAAAAGCTTATCCACCATGATCAAGTAGGCTTCATCCCAGGGATGCGAGGCTGGTTCAATATACACAAGTCTATAAATGTAATCCACCACATAAACAGAACCAAAGACAAAAACCGCATGATTATCTCAATAGATGCAGAGAAGGCCTTTGACAAAATTCAGCAGCTTTTATGCTAAAAACCCTCAGTAGACTAGGTACTGATGGAACGTACCTCAAAATAATAAAAGCTATTTACGACAAACTCACAGCCAATATCATACTGAATGGGCAAACACTGGAAGCATATTCCCTTTGAAATCTGGCACTAGACAAGGATGCCCTCTCTCACCACTCCTATTCAATACAGTACTAGAAGTTCTAGCCAGAGCAATCAGGCAAGAAAAAGAAATAAAGAGTATTCAATTAGGAAAGGAAGAAGTCAAATTGTCTCTATTTGCAGATGACATGATTGTATATTTAGAAGATCCCATTGTCTCAGCCAAAAATCTCCTGAAACTGATAAGCAACTTCAGCAAAGTCCCAGGATACAAAATCAATGTGCAGAAATCACCAGTATTCCTGTACACCAATAACAGACTTAAAGAGAGCCAAATCAAGAACGAACTGCCATTCACAATTGCTACAAAGAGAATAAAATACCTAGGAATACAACTAACATAGAATGTAAAGGACCTCTTCAAGGAGAACTACAAAGCACTGCTCAAGGAAATAAGAGAGGATGTTTCTCCACAAACAGATGGAGAAACATTCCATGCTCATGGTTAGGAAGAATCAATATCGTTAAAATGGCCATACTGCTCAAAGTAATTTACAGATTCAACGCTATCTCCATCAAGCACCAATGACCACCTTCACAGAACTGGAAAAAAACACCTTAAACTTCATATGGAAGCATAAGAGAGCCCGCATAGCCAAGACAATCCTAAGCAAAAAAAAAAAAAAAGAAAAAAAAAAAAAAAAGCTGGAGGCATCATGCCTAACTATACTACAAGGCTACAGTAATCAAAACAGCAGATGTTGGTACCAAAACAGAGACATAGACCAATGGAACAGAATAGAGGCCTCAAAACTAATGCCACACATCTACAACCATCTGATCTTTGACAAATCTGACAACAACAAGCAATGGGGAAAGGATTCCCTATTTAATAAATGGTGTTGGGAAAACTGGCTAGCCATATGCAGAAAGCTGAAACTGGATCCCTTCCTTACACCTTATACAAAAATTAACTGCAGATAGACTAAGGATTTAAACATAAGACCTAACACCATAAAAACCCTAGAAGAAAACCTAGGCAATACTATTCAAGACATAAGTATAGGCAAGGACTTCATGACTAAAACACCAAAAGCTTTGGCAACAAAAGCAAAAATAGACAAATGGGATCTAAACTGTCATTAGAGTGAACCAGCAACCAACAGAATAGGGAAAAATTTTTGCAATCTGTCCATCTGACAAAGGGCTAATATCCAGAATCTACAAAGAACTTAAACAAATTTACAAGAAAAAAACCACCCCATCAAAAAGTGGGCAAAGAATATGAACAGACATTTCTCAAAAGAAGACGTCTATGAGGCCAACAAACATATGAAAAAAAGCTCATCATCACTGGTCATTAAAGAAATGCAAATCAAAACCACATTGAGATACCATCTCACACCAGTTAGAATGGCGATCATTAAAAAATCAGGAGACAACAGATGCTGGAGAGGATGTGGAGAAATAGGAACACTTTTACACTGCTGGTGGGAGTGTAAATTAGTTCAACCATTGGGGAAGACAAGTATCTAGAAATAGAAATACCATTTGATGCAGCAATTCCATTACTAGGTATATGCCCAGAGGATTATAAATCATTCTAAGGACACATGCACATGTATGTTTACTGTGGCACTGTTCATAACAGCAAAGACTTGGAACCAACCCAAATGCCCATCAGTGATAAACTGGACAAAGAAAATGTGGCACATATACACCATGGAATACTATGCAGCCATGAAAAACGATGAGTTCATGTCCTTTGCAGGGACATGGATGAACCTGGAAACCATCATTCTCAGCAAACTGACACAAGAACAGAAAACCAAACACCACATGTTCTCACTCATAAGTGGGTGTTGAACAAGGAGAACACCTGGACATAAGGAGGGGAACATCACACACTGGGGCCTGCTGGGGGGGCGGAAAGGAGGGAAAGCAGGGGGTGGGGGAATTAGGGAGGGATAACATTAGGAGAAATACCTAATGTAGATGACAGGGGGATGGATGCAGCAAACCACCACGGCACACATATACCTATGTGACAAACCTGCACGTTCTGCACATGTACCCCAGAACTTAAAGTATAAATAAATAAAAATAAATGAATCCAGCTAATGTGCAGGATACACAATACAAAAATCAGCTGCATTTTTATACACTAACAATGAGCAGTTCAAAATGAAAATTAAGAATAAATTTAACCAATACTGAAAACTATAAAACATTGCTAACACAAATAAAACACATTACATAGTCATGGATTGGAAGACAATATTGTTAAGATGTCAATATGACCCAAAATGATTCGATGCAATCACTATCAAAATCCCAGTGATATTTTTTGCAGAGGTAGAAAATCCATCCTATCTGAAGAAACCCCAAATAGCGTTAGCGGTTGCACATTTCCTGATTCGAAAAGTTACTACTACAATGCTACAGAAATCAAAACATTGTCATGCTGATATAGACAGATCAACAGAAGAGAACGTTGAGAAATAATCCTTCATATATGTGCTCAAAAAGGGTTTCAAGACCATTTAATGGAGAAAGCACCTTCTTTTCAACAAATGATGCTGGAAAATTGGATATCCACATGCAAAACAATGAAGATGGACCCTTACCTACCCATATATTTAAAAACTAACTCAAAATGGATCAAAAACCTAAATATAAGTTAAAACTATACAACTTTTAGATGAAAACATATGGGAAAACCTTTATGACGTTGGATTTTGCAGTGGTTTCTTGGATATGATACCAAAACAAAAGAGACAAGACAACAAAAATCTCCTAACAAAAACATAAGATTTCATAAAAAGTAAAATCAGGGCTGGACATGGTGGCTCATGGCTGAAATCCCAGCACTTTGGGTGGCTGGGGCAGCAGGATTGTTTGAGCCCAGGAATTCAAGACCAACCTGGGCAACATAGTGAGACCCTGTCTCTACAGAAAATAAAAATAAGCCAGGCATGGTTGCATATGCCTGTAGTAGCAGCTACCATATGGCTGAAATGGGAGAATCATTTGCCAGGAGGTTGAGGCTTCAGTGAGCTGTGACTGCACAACTGTACTCCAGCCTAGGCCAAGGAGTGAGACCCTGTCTCAAAAATACATATATATATTTTGTGCATATAAGGACACTATGAAGAGAGTGAAAAGACAACATCACTGTCATTAGGGAAATCAAAACCACAATGAGAGACCATGCCTGTTAGGACAACTGTTAAAAAATAGAGCAAGTGTTGATAAGGACATGGAGAAATTGGAACCCATGTAAAATGGTGTAGCCACTGTGGAAAATTAGGGTTTCCTCAAAAAGTGAAACACAGAATTTCCATATAATCCAGCAGTTCCACTCCTGGGCATACATCCAAAAGAACTGTAAAAAGGAACTCGCATAGATATTTGTATGATAATGTTCATAGCAGCATTACTTACAATAGCCAAAAGGTAGAAACAACCCAAGTGTCCATCATCGACAGGTGAATGATAAACAGAACACATTATATTCACACAATAGAATATTATGCAGCCTTAAAAAGGATTGAGATTCTGATATGTGCTACAAGAACCTTGAAAGTGTTAATGCCAAGTGAAGTAAGCCAGGCACAACATAACAAATATTGTTTGATTTCACTTACAGAAGGTACTTAGAAGAAGCAAATTCATAGAGACAGAAAGTAGAAGGCAGTTGAGCTGGTGGGGAGGGAGAGTCATTAACAGGTTAAGAGTTTCTGTTTTATGATGAAAGAGGTCTCGAAATGGATGATGGTGACAGTGGCACAACACTGTAAATGTACCTAATGCCACTAAATTGTATATCAAAAAGAGTTTAGATGGAAAATGTTACATGTTGCCACAAATCTTTTTAAAAAAGAAACTAAACTGAGTCACTATATGTTGAGGATAAGATGCCAGATAAAGATGATCCCCGCCAAAACCTACCACTTGAGAGCTTTTAGGAACTAAGCCCTATCTTTCAGGGGACTCTCCATATGCAGAGATAAAGGCATTTTACATTAAACATGTTTGCAGCTCTTTAAATTTTATTTACTAAAACACATTTCAAAGAAATATAAAAAGCTTTGCATCACTGTAATCAGAGCCTTTGCTACTTAAATTCTCTATTCCTTGAGAACTCAGCTTTTGTCCAAGAGTGGCAATGTCATCAGAAAGAAAATCACACTTAAAAAAAAAAGTGTTCTTGGTTTGATAGTACCGGTGACTCCCCACAACTCAACTTCATAAGCCCATTTAAATAAATTCCCTCTGCAGGTTTTACTATACATTTTTGAAAATGTTATTTTTTGTAGAAAACAACTATGTTGCCCAGATTGGTTTCAAACTCCTGGGCTCAATTGATTCTCCTGCCTCAGCCTCCCAAGTGCTGGAGCCACCATGCCCAGTTCCCTCTGCAGTTTTTGAAACTACTGTTTGTAGCCCATGATTCCAGTGTTACCTCTGGTCATAGGACAGCGCCATGGCCCGGATTCCAGCATCGCATCCTGGGTAGGCAAAGAGCTGCTTCAGGTCTGATACCTGCCGGACCACAACCACTCCGCTGTCTCCTCCTGTGAGCAGGTACTGCCCATCTCGGCTTAGCTGGATGGCCTGTTGAGACACGGTAACATTCAGAAGAGATGTGGTTCTAGGACACTTCCAGCCCCACCATATGTTTGAGTCATTCTTACACCAGCTACTGTGGTGCAGGGAGAAGAGAGAGAGAGAGCCTCAGCAATTTTTAGAAAATCACAGGTTGTAGAAGATCTGCCATTTTTCAAAAACCAAGGGGACAAAGTTTGGCAATGCTTGAGATTTTTTTGGCTTTGCTTTTTTAAAGATGAGGTAGTAAACTCTTCCAATTCCTCAAATGCTGTGGGAATGGTACGTGTTGTGGACTAGGACCAGTGCTCTGAGGAGGAGCCCTGGCATCTCTTCATTTGCCCTGTGGACATGCTAATAACCCTGTTTTGTCCCAAGACTTGGCAGACTGTGCCACCTGACCTCACATCCACTCTGATACCCTGCTGTTGTGCGACTCCAGGCCGAGGGAGGCAGCCAGCCACCTCAGCCCCTTCCCTGAGCCTGTTGGATTTTGACAGCAGTTGGGAAGAAGACTTGGTAGAGAGCCACAGCTTCCAGGGTGATTAAATCTCAGTTTAGCCGTTTCTTGCCCCAGGGCTGACAGTTCTTCAGCCTGTGGTTTAGGTGGCTCTAGGCTGTGCCCCTCTGTCCTTTCCTGCTAGTGCTGAACAGATGGGGCGGGCTCCGAATTTGCTCTTTGATCTCAGAAAATGGGCATCCACAAATGAAAGCCTGCAGGCCAAATGCAGCCTACTGCCTGTTTCCTGTAACTATTTTAATATTTTTTAATGCTTGAAAAGAACTTTTCATGACACATAAATATTTGTATGCATTCCAAATTTGAATCCCCATAAATAAGCTCTACTTTGAGACAGGGTCTCATTCTGTCACCCAGGCTGGAGTGCAGTGGCGCAATCTCAGCTCACTACAACCTTCACCTCCCGGGTTAAAGTGATTCTCATGCCTCAGCCACCTGAGCAGTTGGGATTACAGGTGCCCACCACAACACCTGGCTAATTTTTGTATTTTTAGTAGAGACGGGGTTTCACCATGTTGGTCAGGCTGGTCTAGAACTCCTGACCTCAAGTTATCTGCCCACCTTGGCCTCCCAAAGTGCTGGGATTACAGGCACGAGCCACCATGCCTGGCCTTCAATAAATAAGGTTTTACGGACATCGCCGTACCCATTTGTTTTCGACTACTTTCACAGGTAGTTGCAACAGAGAATATAGAACCTTCAAAGCCTAAAATACTTACTTTCTGTGCATTTATAGAAAAAGTGTGGTGACTCCTAATTGTCCCTCCCTACTCCAAAAGCCAATCCTATTATCCCTTCTTCTCCTCCTGCCTGTTGCCTCCAAGCCTTGTTTTCTTAGCTTATTAAGATACAAATTTCCTTTCCTCAGTGGATGGCACTGGAGTTTTAACAGCCATTACAAACAACCGTAATTGTACGTTCACCTGGACACACATAGGAATACAAATTGTGCTGGCAAGCCAGAAAGAGAAGAACCTAATTTCTGATATATTCACACTGTTGTACATTCAGCTTTAGCACAGTCACCTTAAGTCTTACTCCTTGACATACTGTTTTAAAAATCATAGAAAGGTAAAGACTTTCTTAGCTATTTAATTCACATTCACTCAAATGCCAACTTTCAGTAGTCTCGAACACAGCTTATTCTCAAGAACACAAAAATACATCTAGGAAATAAAAACCTATGTGTGGAAGACAGTTATATATTCTCTAAGTCTTGTTAACTAAGCACAGATATTAAAATATTTTCAAGATAAGCAAAAATCAATATCCTTTTCCCCCATTCATTTCACAAATAGCAATCTCTAGGGGTGTCTGGGAACTGCAATGAAGACTAGGACAAACAATTATTTGCTACACTTATAAAATTCAGCTGATGAAAATCCATTAACCTTATGGTTGTGGTTCACTTGAATTTTATACTTGAAGCTTTTTACTGGATAAGTGCTATACTAAAACAAATTAAAACCATTAATCTTTAATTCTTTGTTCTGGTAAAGAATCGCTAATACTGCTTCTGTCTGAAATTAAGTAAAACCTGGCCTTTAGAGACTGTACAGTCATCAGCATTCAAAACATTTTAATGAACCAGATGCCTCCCAAGGTGAAAAAGATTTCACTGGCCTCTTTGACGAGAGGCCAAGTTCCTCTGGCAGCCAAGAGCCAGGGTAACATTTAGCAAGATCTCCCACTCAAATCCTGACAGGCTGCCTCTGCATCCAGGTTGGGTTGTGACTAGAGGTTTTCAGAGGGCCCCAGAGACATGTTAATCTCATCCCCTGAAATCCTGAGTGTTATGGACAACACTGTGGCTGCAGGCTTTTAAGGAGGACCTAGCAGGCCACAGCAATCTGCTGCGAATGACCACATCCTAAAACATAGCCTCAGGAAGGGAAAACAAAAGCGTTCCCCTGGGTGAATGATGGTTCTCCCAGGTTCAGGATAAAATAACTTTGCTGCTCTGTCCAGTCTGCCTCCTTAAATATCAGCTATTCACAAAGACATCTCAATACTGTCTAGTTGATAGACCATGATATGCTGCTAACCCAAATGCTGCTAACCAAAATGCCACAGAACAATCTGGCACCTAAAATAAAAATAGGTGGGAAGCCTTGATTAGTGCAGAGCTTCCCCAGGCTGCCTGCCTGCAGGGTTCTTGGTATTTCACAGAAAATTTCTGGTCTGAGCTGATGACTAATTTGTTTCCATGGTATCCTTTCCTTATATGGGCTCAGACTGAGGATGGAGCTGGAGATTCTGCTCTGTGGTGTCTTGGATTCCCAGCCTGTGGCTTCCTTCCTCGCCTTCAGAGGTAGTGAGCTGTGAAAGTGTCAGTCTCTGAAGCTGTGGGTAGGTAGTGCTCATTTTTGGCAAGCTCACTTTAATCACGCAGTTGCCACTTGCCAGTTAGCATGATAAAGTGCAGGAGTGCTGGGAAAAAGGCAATGGATTGTTTAAGCCTAAAATCCAGTGGGAAATATTACAGAGGGAAAAAGTGATGACTACAGGGCAGAGAGGAGAAGCATGTGTGTACGAATGGTCTGCAGAAAGCCTCCCACTGCTGCCTCAAGGAACTTCCCAGAGCCCCTGGTACTAACTGAAATGCCACAGAAATTGCTTCAGTCAGCTAGGGATCTCAAATTATTTTACAGATTTATTAGCGTAGCTGACAATATAATCACAACTCAAAGTGACAGATTATCCACATTATTATTGTAAAGAAAAGAGGAAAGGAAAATCCTCTGATGTGTACTTGGTTTAAATGCAGCATTATGGGAAGGTAGGGAAAAATAAAAGGGTGTGCGAATGTGTCTGTGTGCATGCCTCATGGTGAAGGCCGGCAGAATGCAATGGAGAGACCACGGAGAACAGTGGAGACACAAGAAGGAAACCGTCCACTGAAGCAAGAAATGAATCCCAGGAGATGGAGCAGCAGGGGTCCTTTATGTCCTCAACGTAATCTACATGTATGGGCTCTGTTCCCTAATACTTCCTGACCCCAGTATTTACCTAGGAGAAGTGGGTACTCAGACTAGATCTGGGAAAGTAGGAGAATTTATGTCATCTAAGCTGACTAGGTCAGGAATAGCAATGAGTGAAATATCCAGAGGTAGCCCAAAGCCAGGATAGAAGCCCCTGTGACCCTACTCCTGCCCTGAACATGTCATGGGTCCCCTCATTGTATACAGCTCACGTGCCCCACCCCCTAGCCTGATTCTAGAAAATTGAAAAACTAGTCCCTGAAAAGAACAGTTCCTACTCTTTTTCTCAACTTCTACTACTTGTGGAGTCCTGTCCTGAAGAGGAAGCAAGAGGCTGGAAGTCCACTGGCGTTGCCATTTCTGGTATACCAAATGGGAAAAAATGCTTGCCTGATTCATATCATAATTTGAAGCCCAACTTCGTTAACATGTTTTGGTCTTGTTATCCATGAAGAAGTCATATCTGAAATTAATCCTAAATAGTCATAATCCCTACTGCTCCCACCACCAAGCTATTCAGATGTAAAGTGAATCCAGTTTTAGGTGTCATCTAATGTACTGTTTCAGCTTTCATACTCAGAAAACAATTTACAGTGAACGTTCTTAGACAAAAAAAAAAAAAAAAAAGCAGGGCCACTGAAAGCCACCCAGGATGGTTTCAGAAGTCCCTAAGAAAACCTCTTCTACTGAAGGGCCGTCCTCAGCTGTGCAAAGTGATGCAGTCTACACAGCTGGCACTGCTGTGGTGTACCAAGTGTGTGAGCCTTGTCCAAGTGCTACCGAAGCATTTTCTGTTGGTGTGGAAAAGAGGCCCTCGACAACCCAAAAATCGAGGTTTCTTTCGTGAACACTTTCCCTCCCTACTTGATACGCATTGAGGTAAAAGTCATGAATGCTGAAGAGTCTCCAGGGCACTCACTCTTATGTTATCATCTGTTTCCATCGTGGCCTGGAGCTTCCCATTCACACTGAACGTACAGAAGAGGCCATTCTCATAGAATATGACACAATGGCCCTCTCTTGAAGCCTGAATGAGTTTCGGTTTCAGGCAGTTTTCAGGACCCTCCAAGGTCCTCAACAAGTCTCCATTCATGGAATGTATGAGACATGGTCCTTCTGAGAAGAGAGGAGAAACAAAAGGCAAATTAATCATTTAATGAAAACAGACAAATATGATTTGAATCTTGAATCCTAAGCACAGATTAAACAGGATTATAGTACCATACTATAGGTGTAGAAACCCTTTTAAAAACTTCGATCTTACATATATGTAAGTTATTTTGCAAAATCTCTTCATGTTTGCCAGATTTCACCTTCCATTTGGGAGACGAGAGAAGCCAAATCATGTAAGTCCCAGTTCACTTTCCTCAAGAGACAGGAAGTTACTCTATGAAATTCATTATGCTAAGAGGCAATACCAACTGGAGGAACTGAGAAACAAGCTTCAAATCCTAGCACAGCTTCAAGGAGGCTGGGATGCAAAGAAACAAGGGCTGTAGGCAGGTACACTAGGACCTCTCCCCACACCTTGTGGGAGCCTCAACAGCCAAGACACTGTGGGCCTGTGCAGGGACAGCCAGCTCAGGCAGCCTCAGAGGGCCTAAGCCTTCTTCCCCACAATTGCTTACTACTGTTGTACACTAAAAGGGGGTCCCTGATACTTCCTCTGAGCCTCCAAAAAATTCGTACAGGGACCCTTCGGCCACTTCTCCTTGTCAACTGAGTGAGTCCACTTCCCTGCTGTCCCCACAGTAAGCAGCAGCATCTGCCACTCCCAACACCTAGGTGGACCACCAGGCCAAAGTGACATTGGAGGACAGGCAGCTGCTGGGGAGCCCACACACAGCCAAGCGTTTTGTTTCTATTGAGTACCTGCTACATGCAAAGCAAAGAAGGAGTAAGGCACAAAGATTGCTTGTGTGATGAACAAATTCCAAGAGATATCTCAGTCAGATAACAGGGGTTACTGGGGTATGCACCCTGCTACTCTTCTGGCTAAATTACTCATGGCCACATGATCACTGCCTTTTTCCCCACAATGACTTGAAAGCTTGCCCTTTTAAAAATAAGGTTTTTAGCTCTTTCTTGACCACTCAGGTGGTTTATAAATTTTTTAAATATCCACAGGCAGTCTTTGCTTTATGCAGTTCCAGCACGCATGAATTTCAGTTATCACTCCTTAAATAACACCAGCTCTCCAATAACATAGTTCAAATTTAGGTTGTCACAGTAATTGCAATAAAGTACGTAATTTTGTGGCTAGCTCTTCAGTCCACGAATCACTATATAAATAACAGATGTGCATCATCATGATAAGTGACCAATCACATCATTCCTTTCAAGGTATCTTGATGACTGGCCACTGCATATCTGTTATTCAGTTCATGTACAGACAGCAAACTGTGCAGCTGTGTTGCCTTTTTGTCTCCCAGTGATAAAGCCATGTAATATTTCACAAAAATGGATAATCAAAAAAGGGTATTAGCCAACAAAGATGAAACTGCAGTAAAGAAATGAAAAATGATAAAGCTGAAAGTAGAATTGAATTGAATATAAATGGAGTTATGGAAGAAGAGCTGCCTGTGGGGTGCTGACCCTGCTGAGACACTGTAGATTTGCAGCCAGGAAGAGAATGAAGGGGACTCATCAGTGTGAGTTAGGGAAGAAGGTGTAACAAAAATGATGTCCTGGAAGTGATACCAGCAAAAGCCTCACATTAAAGGAATCCTACGGAATATTTCATGACATTGAAAGCACAAAAGATAAAATGTTAGAAGCGGATCCCAACTTAGAAAAGAGTATGACAGATCCTCAAGGCATAGAAAAGATGCTAGCTCCTTCCATGTATACAACAAGAAGGCAGTAAGCACTGGTCAAACTACTCTTGATACATTTTTCACAAAATAATTATCAGTGTATCATATTTCAATGTATTAAGTACATGTGAGTTTTACTAATTTTTTCATGTTCTTATATGTATAACTGAGTATGAGTTTTTAAAGTTTTGACAAAATTATTATCAGAGAGAGGGTTTTGCTCTGTCACTCAGGCTGGAGTACCGTGGCATGATCATGGCTCACTACAGCCTTCACCTCCTGCAATCCTCCCACCTCACCTTCCCAAGTAGCTGGGACTACAGATGTGCACCACCATGCCCAGCTAATTCATAATTTTTTTTGTAGCAATGGGAGTCTCACTATGTTGCCAGACTGGTGTCGAATTCCTGACCTCAAATGATTGTCCCACCTTGGCCTCCCAAAATGTTGGGATTTACAGGTATGAGCCACTGTGCCCAGCCTGACAAAAATTTTTAAAGACCATGGAACAACTGTAAACTTTACCGCTGATTATTCAGATCACTTTGTATGGTTTCAGTTTGCATGCTTGCTTTTACAGTTCCACAGCACTGTGCAAAGCAAAGATGACCTGTAATATAATAGGTTCATTTTATGACTCCTGTTGGCTCAGGATATATGAAATTATTGACAATAAGAAGGAAAAAAATCCAGTGGTTATAGAATTCTTGCTATCATTATTACCATTTCAATGTTTTGACCAGATTTTTAAACACAATCCTTTAAATATTTAAAACACCTTGTTAGCTAGACTAAATATTATACTTTAGGACACAGATAAGATGATTCAAATACTCTGTTTCCCCACCAGATAAACCTAAAAGACATGAGATATTGTACTTTGTTGTATGTGCAGACCTCAGCTCAGAGCAGAGACAGAGAGACGGATAGACTATTACAATGGGATAAGCAACGAATTGCAAACAGCTCCGTTCCTAGTCAGATCCTGATTTGTTGTGTGTGCTCTTAGCTCACTTAATACCTTGGGCCTAAACGTATGATGCTGTTTCCAGCACAAACCTCCAGGCAAACCAGCTTAAGTATCTTTCCACTCCACTCTCAATGCCCTTGTGGCCCCTGCCTCATTAAAACAGACAGGGTCAGGAGTTTCCATTCAGATATAAGATGGAACTCGGCCCAGTAGCAGTTCAGAAGACTAAACAAATATACAAAGATGTTCTTTGTTCCTGCCTATGGAAATACGAATATTATTGGAGATGTTTGTAAAAATATCTTAAACTCTTTAGAGTAGTGCTGTGAAACAGAACTTTTGACCATGATGGAAATGATGTGTATCTGCTGTCCAGTGTGGTGGCCACTAGCCATATGTGAGTAATGAGCACCTGAAATGTGGCTAGTGCCACCAAGAAACTTTAAATAATTTAAGTTTAAATAGGTTCTATATGGCTAATGGCCATTATAACAGGTAGAAGCTTTAGCAAAAAGGTATCAAATTGATCGTTGGTAATTTGTTACTAGGAGACACCGAAAAATGCATACATTTTGCGAAGGTACCACAGGTTTACCTTGTGAACCACTTAACACCAGGCCTAGCTCAGCACAGACTGCAGCACATGTGATCTCATAGTCATGGCCCGTCAAAATGGCCCGAGGAGCAGCAGTCTCACCTTTAGGAAAAAACAGATAAAAAGAACAGATCAATTCAAGTTTATGCAAATTAAATAATCAACAACTTGCTCCTAATTCCCATCATGCGTATTTAATTTATAGTTTGGGAATTTGTGCAGAAATCCTACTTTAGGACTAGATCTAAACTATATACTGTAGTTTGATTATGAGGATCACATCCTGCTAAAATGTCAAGTAACCTTTATGTGATTATCAACAACAATGGTTAAAAACTCAGGGTTAAATACAACAAAATCTGCATTCCAAAAATGCCTCATAAAAAATTAGCCCCTCAATTAGATGTTTTATGGTCAGATGATTATACAATTAGGAACTGTGGCTCAATTTACATTTCAAAGAAAGGCCTCACCCCTCCTTCCTCATTCTCTGTGGGCCCCTGAAACCAATCATAATGAAGACAGTCTAAATTAGACTTCCTGCTACCTCCACAGGAATTCTGCAGCCCCTCTCTTAAATACTTACTCTCTTTACTAAGCTTATGTATTTTTCTGATATGTAAATTTCATGGATGTATTTATGGTTCATTCAAAGAACAGAAAAACCAACATAAGAAACACCTAAAAAAAAAAACAAACCTTTACAGATAAGTCTACAGATAGTGATTGAAAATGAGGGGCAATGGGTGGAGAAGGTGGGACAGAGGAGGAGTATCCAAAAGGCAGATGTTTCTGAATACTTTCACAAGTAGAAAGAACAAGTCATCCTGTAAGTCTTTCCCAAACTAAAAAAAAAAAAAAAAAAAAAATACAGTTGGTTGATTGGTTGGTTAATATGGAACCCACCATGGATAAGTAAAACGGTAATGGACTTGATGGACTTGATTTGTGGACTGTTTCCTGCCAAGCCACAAGGATAAACTGGATTCCATGTCTAGCCCGAAGAATACTATTTGAAGACTGAACGAATCCTCTACTTTTATAGTCTCTAAAGGCAAAGACATAAAAAGTCTTTCCACGTGGAATTAGAGAGCAGGATTCTATTAGCATTCTTGATTTCTTAATTTGGATTGGTCTTACAGTATGCTTGATACCTAACACTGTGTAATCGAGAAGAGGCAAATGTGCCCACAGAGTACTTGCTACCACCAGCTATGGAATTCCATGGAAGAGAATCACTTGTATCTTAACCCCGAACATCTGACTATCCTTGGAGCAGTCACCCACTCGGAGGAAAGAAGTCCAGTAGCTCAGGGGAAACCCATCAGAAAGCTACTGTATGTGGAAAGGCAAACCCTGCTGTCAAAACACTAATCCAGCTTCCAAAGCAGGTTTTTTTTTTCAGTAGGTCACTGTGTTATTTGAAATTTTATGCAAAATGTATCTACATGCCTGTTTTTCTAGGTAGCAAGGGAGCAAAGTAAGTTTTACTGAATGCACAGAGGTCCATGACCAAGAAAAGGTGAGAGGCTTCTACCCTGAAGAGAGGTGTAGTCTCTGTGCTTGCAGCCCCAACTTCACCTGGAGCCAGCTGTCACTTCAGGTCTAGCTTTCCACACGAGAGTTCCAATGCATGTACTGCAGTACATAGTACATAGCCCCACAGTGTCCTTTAAAGCTTTGGTGACTGTAGGTACTTCTGAGTGAGACTTAAGTTGAAGGGATATCACACAGAACTTTGCACCACACTGGCAGTGCTATGTGCAGCCAACTGCTGGAAATGGCCTACAGGCTTAGTGATAAAGGGAGACCTAAAATGACATACTAAGAGGCAAGGGGTAAGTGGAACAAGGGCTTCATTTCATTTGATCCCAAGTTTTAAAACTTCTTTGGGAGGCAAACCTACCTTAATTAGAAAGTTTACTTGACATTTACCAAACCACAAAGAATTTGTCACAAGGGCAATTTTGTGTCTTACAAAGTCCAGAAATTTGGGAAAATTTTAAAGAAATAAAGCAAATGATGTAAGCCAATCTGAACTACTTAACCTTCTGTTAAGATTCACTAATTTTAGGGATAAATATGCTGTTTTAAAAAGTTATCAGCCAGGTGCAGTGGCTCACGCCTGTAATCCTAGGACTTTGGGAGGCCAAGGCAGGCAGATCACCTGAGGTCAGGAGTTCAAGACCAGCCTGTCCAACATAGTAAAACCCTCTGTCTACTAAAAATACAAAAAAATAGTTTGCTGTGGTGGTGTGTGCCTGTCATCTCAGCTACTCAGGAAGCTGAGGTAGGAGAATCACTTGAACCTGGGAGGTAGAGGTTGCAGTGAGCCAAGATTGCGCCACTACACTCCAGCCTGGGAGACAGAGCAAGAATTCATCTCAAAAAAATAATAAAATAAGAAGTTATCAATATTTTATCCCTGACTCTTGGTTTGCCTTTTCCCCAGGAGGCTGTACATTCCACAAAAATACGATACAATGTTGTTTCTGAAATTACTGTCTAATTAGATTTATTGGAAACTTTTTTTTTTAACCAACAATTAAAATCATTAAGATCTACAGAATATATTTTTGGTGTGATTGTTCCTTTTTTTGTTTTCATAAGTTATTTCATGGAAGGTGAAATTTGTGTTTTAAGTTGAATTGTCTTGGAATTCCTCAATGGAAAGTGAAGGTTTGAAGGAAATCTGATGGCAAATGAAGGCATTCTAAGACACAGTAAACAAAGGATAGATGGATAATGGTGGTCCCAGAGGACAATGTCACTTAAGCACATCAATGCTAACTTTTTGTTTTCTTGGGAGCGTGGTGAAGAAGAGACAGGACTGCTGTCAATTTTCTTTCTTTCTTTAATGCAAAAGAGTTGAAATACTCAGAGTTTTCTATGACTGTAAAGTTTAGAGTTTAGGAAGCCTCATGATTAACCCCAGAAAGTGGGTTAAGATATAAGCATTCTTTTTTTAGTAAACTCTTAAGATTTTTATCATTCAGCTTTGCTTACGAAATACTGGTTTCCAATAAGCCAAACTTTATTAAATCATTTTTCACTCCACAAATCAGAGCACACACACAAGAATTGTAATTTCAAAACTGAAAAGGATTTTTTCTTTTTCTAGGGCCTGATCTCTAAATAAGGAGCTGTTCAATGCTAGGACTTTGGCTTCAAAGTTTGGCAAAATGTTTGCTAATCCCGGAAGCAGGTTAGACAGTTCAAGAAATGAAAAAAAAAAAAAGAAAAGAAAAAAAAAAAAAAACAGAGAGAGAAAAAAAGAAAAACAAATTAAAAGCATAAGGGTAGACTTATAATCATTAGGTTCTCAGGTAACTGGTTCCACAGTCACTGGATTTCCAGTAAAAAGACAGTGCTACTTAACTTTCCTCACTATAGGAAATGCATATTAATGGCCTCTATAAACCCACATACGACAATATAAGGAGAGATACCATGTCATTTCCTCCAAGAAAAACTGTTTCCAATCTTGTTTAAAGACTAAACATTATATTCCCTTTATTATCTGCTGTTCAGATTGAGCATTCTTTACATTTTCTCCTTATCAAAAAGTATGTTCAAAATAAATACCTACTACTTGATTTTTATAAGTTTTATAACAAAGAGCTTGAAATAGTTATACTTCAATATAGCAAATATATGATATGGGATTTAAATCAAGCAGGTCAAAACTGTTTAAGTTCAATGGACATTTTAGGAACCACTTGCAATGAATTTACTGAGGGTAGCAGGGATAATTGGAGGCAGAGCAGAGGCTTTACATGTGGCTCACAGAATCGATCTTTTCATGTCTCTGTGGTTACACTGTGTACATCATCCTGGATCACAGCAGAGCCCAAGTGACAAATCCCACAGAAAGGAGAGGCAAAAATCCCTCCATATCTACGTACATTTCTGTTTGGAAAGCCTAGAAACAAAATCTCGGAACCATATAACTTATTCTCACTGCAGAGTTCTTAGAAATCTGCCCCTCCCAACTACTTGTCGGCCCACATAGTTAATAGCTGGGGGAAATAATCACCTCAAACAAGATGAGTATGGCCATATATTACTTTTCAAAGATGCCAAAGCAGTCAATCATCTCTCACTGAAGTCTCTAAACCAAATAAAGAGCAACAAAAGTCTTCTGAAAAATATCAGGTTAATTCTTTTGATAAAAATTAGCAATAGTTAAGGGGTACAAAAAGTCTTTATCTTTGCTTTTTGAGATAGTAGGCTCTACCAAAGGCTAGACCATAAAGCAGAACAGGTTCCCTTAAGAACCTTTTAAAGTCTTACTGCTTGAAAAATTGTCATGGCCTTCAATAATGATGAGAGAAAAATTTATCTTGCTGCTAGTTTAAGGGACTACACTTCAAACTCTTCTTAAAGAAAAATAAAAAGAGAAAGAGGACAGACTTCTAGGACTGCTTTGAAAAGCTCGAGCAGTTACTTCAAAGGAAAGGGCGTCTTTGTCCAGAGAGCAGGTTTATGACTACTGATGCAAATCCTAACCAAAGCCTGAAAAGGATACTCAGTGCATCTTTATGGATGGCCTTAAAAGAAGATGAACAAGTCAAATGAGATTAAAGATGGCCCAAATCCTGCTGCAAATACCAGGGCACACCAGTTTTTACAGAGGCACTTTTCTTATAATACTAGATACCAGCACCAACTTACAAAGACAGTTATAACAACCTAACTTGCATTTAAGCAACACAAAATCTCTATAATAGCCACTTAGCATTTATATTGGACTTATATTTTAAAACATTAGGTGAAATATTTTAACACCACTAGGCAGAATAGCAAATGTTTTTATTAACTGTGTTTTTTTTGGTGCCCTCACAACATTAGGTATATTTATCAAACAGACTCTGAACCTCTTCAAATTACACCTGAAAGAAGAGAAGAGGAAAGAGGAATTTCTCTAGTATCTTGCTCATAAATATCCAGTGAGAAAAATATTTCATAAGGTCTGTATCCATTACGGAAAAGAGGTAATAACCCAGGTAAAAATAGATCTGATGTGTTTATTTCTGACAAACTTTTAGTTACTTTTTAAAAAGTGAATAAAGTTCTTGGTGTTTTGGCATCATCTCCTTACT